AGCAATGTATCCACCATAACCAGTGCCCAGATCCCGCAGGTACGGCTGTTCATGAAGGCCCTGCTGGCAGAGCCTTGGCGCGAGCGTCCGCGTCAGGGGTGCTGGGGCAGGAATTGTATTATTTTCCGTTCTTGATTTCACCTCCCGTTCCAAACTTAAGTTTCTGATAAGGTTTCAGTGAATTAATATAAATAAACCAGTAGCCCATATCTATAGTCTGTGCCTTCCCCGAATTCCTACTACTCGGGTTAAAGTATAGGGTTATGATTGCTCTAAATTCCGGTAACAATCCCCCATTGGTTCAAGATCCCAAGCCCTTGTTTCCGTAATGGGCATTCTTTCAGGCTTCGGACCGTATGGTCTGTGACATAGCTGCTGGATTCTGGGAGGAGTTTGCTACCGTAAACCCGCATGCTCACATTCCTAGTGGGGCAGTCCTACGCAAGATGAACAGGAAAAGGCAGACGAAGCATGAGAACGAGACATCCAAGATCCTCAAGGAGTCTGGTCTTTCCTGTCCTCTACCAATCGATTGGGTGGATATTGGTCATGGGACTATGCACGAGGTGTTTCGAGTAGAATCCTTCATACGCATTATGAGCCTGCACAACAATCTGCCTTTACTATGTGGTCACGAAAAAAATCTCCGTCTTGTTGATGAATACTGGAAACGCTACCAAGTTGTGGATCCAGCTCACCCAGTTTTTTCTCTTCACCGCGGACGTGAGATGTTTGTTCTTCCGTTGAATCTACACCTAGATGAGGGGCGAACACACAAGAAGTCGAGCATTATGGTGTGCAATTTCCAGCCAGTATTGGGCGGTAATCCCGAGCCTGACTACGACAAAGAAGAGTTACACACAAACCTCAAGTACAGTTCCTACTGTACGCGTTTGTTGTTGTTTGTGATGATGAAGTCGGCGTACAAAAAGGATTCAAAGCCGTTCTACACGATGTTGGAGAGCATTGCCCAGGAGCTTCTTCATCTGTGGACAAACGGGGTGGAAGTTGTGTTTGGATCTCAAAAGATTACACTGTATGTCTGTATGATGGCTATGAAGGGGGACTGGCCTATCTTAGCAAAGGTTGGTTTGATGGAGAGATTTTTTGGGCGCAAAACACGGTCAAATGCAGCGAATGCAGGCGGCATTTGCCACCTTTGCTTAGGAGGGCAGGATGGTTTCCCGTATCACGACTTTTCAGCTGAAGCAAGGTGGCGTACCACGTACCTACGTCATGATCCTTTCAAAGGTGTGGGCCCACTAGCATGCCTTCCCCATCACAGTCCCATGTTCTACCGCTTTGATGTCTTCCATTGCTGCCACAAGGGCATCATGGCAGAGTTGGCAGGAAGCGCGCTCGTCGGGCCTGGCCAATAAAGGGCGAAATTTACTTAAACCCTACCCGGGGCCTAAACCCTAAACCCTAAATATCGAAAGGATACTAGCCCGTAACCCCAAAATGAATTAAGATATGGGTGTAGATATACATCTTTTTATGGGTATTTGGGAAATCTAGGTCGACTAGGTATAATTTATAATACTATATGTACATAATTGTTAAATAGGTGTAGCCCCAAATCCCCTGTGAGGTCGTTTTGATGGATCTGGGATTGGCTGGCGCTGGAGATGTGCCAACGCAACTAACCGCGCTGTACAATGAGATGGTGACATTTTGTTCCCGAAACAGAATCCCGCTCCATATGACTGATTTGACCCGCCAATTGGTCAACTTGATGAAGGATGCGGATTACCCCTGCGGGCCCTTTGTACGCACACGGTACCACATTAGAGCCAAAATGGTTTGAAGGTGTTTAGGGTTTAGGGTACATGGTTTAAGAATTGTTAAGGGGGTCCATTTTTTGTGTGTAGTATGTACGTTCGCTAAGGGCATGGTTCAAAGGAGCCGACACAAGTGCTGCTTGCCGCTTCCTTGAGTTTCGCTATGCCCAGCTGGAACCCCAAGCGTATACGCAGGCGATATACGAAGCTATTTGCTCTGCTAACCAGTTTCTCAGGGGGCTATATGGGCATGGCTTGTGGATCCGAGCATCCGATGCTCAAATGATCCAAGCTTCTGGCCTGAAATTTGTTTCCCAGTATGTTACGGCAGCTCACCACGCACTGGTTTTGGAAAAGACACGGTTCAAGCTTGCACCGAAACTGCATGCCCTCCTTCACATCATACAGTATCTGCGGGATGAGTTGGCTACTGGTGCTCAATGGGTTCAGAGCCCTATCCAGTGGTCTACACAGCAAGACGAGGACTTTGTGGGAAAAATCTCAAAGTTGAGCCTCGCAGTCTCCAGCCGCACGGTGCACGCTCAGACCATGGCCAAATACGCCACAAATTTCTGGGAGCACTGGAAGGATTGGAAGTCGTAGTACTTAGGATCAAGTAGTATACTTCATAATACCCGAAATAGCTCACGTATGCTTGTATGATGACTTTCAGTCGGATCCTATGGATGCTGGGATCGATGTGTT